AACTTCCTTATTTCGTGACTTTAAGAAGAAAAATAAATAATGAGACATATTAAAGTCATTATTGTAGCTGTTTGTGCCTTCTGAAGGTTTGGTCTTTCTTTTAAAAAAAAAAAAAGTTTCAACCTTTGGGAAAAAAAGTGCCCAGTGAAATTAAAGGCAGCAAATCTACACTAAGATATATTTTTTATATACTACCAAATTTACATATGGAACTCATTGTCACAAGATATTATTAAAGCCAAGAGCTTAGCAGGATTCAAAAAGGCTTAGACATTTATGTGAATAATAAGAACATCCACAGTTATACTAGAAAGGAAAAAGACATTTATAAGTGATACTAAAACTCACACTCGAGGGCATAAGCCAACTGCTAGCTGCGTTGGTTTAGRCAGAAAATCCCCCAATTGACAATTTTTCCATAAATGTCCATTATGGATTTCTTTGTACCTTGCCCTAAGCATCTGGTGCTGACCAGTGTCAGAAAGACTATCCAAGTCTGATCCAGGCCAGCAGGTGTTATGTTCTCAATCTAAAACTCTTTTTAATGTAAAGCTGTCATGAAATATTTTGAAAAGGCTGCTTATTCCTTGCCTAATCCTATAGCGCTTGGCAGCTTTTAAAATGGGTAACGGATATTCTGCCTCAGTTTGTACATCCACCAAGAAGAGGGCGGTTAGTCACAATATTTTCTTACGTCTCCTGCCAGCTCCTTTACGGGGCATCAGATTATATGGGTCTATATGTACATTCCATCCCAAACAAAACATTGTTCTCCGAAACCTGCAAGTTTTGCAACGCCACTGAAAAAATCTCGTGATGTGGAGTGTGAGAAGCCACTCCCAAATCCCGACAAAGTTTGGAGAGTGGGAGTGCTGCAGGAATCTGCAGTTGTAAGCAAAGAGAAGTCTTAAAGAGGGCTAAGGACCAACACTGCAGAAAAGTTCAAACAAATCCTTCAGTAAGACTGTGGATTTATTCACCTTCCTCTATTAAACACTTAATCATCACTATATTTCTAATAATTTGGAAAGAGCTACTGACAATAGACACAGCTTTTGCTATCATAAATATACATATATACGCATACACACGCTAACATCTGTACATGCACAGCATATACTTGTGCGTCTCAGGAAAGTTGTGGCCTCCCATCTTCCTCCATAAACTTTGCCTGCCTTATTCTAACCATCATAGCTTGGTCTTAATGATGTTTATTAAGTTTAAATATAGAATGAAATGGTTTTTCTGCTTGGAATAAAATATTAGGAATGTGATAACATATTCAGAAGAAAAGTCAAAATGACCCTTAAAAGAGAAATGCATTAACTCCTAGCATTGAATTTATGCTACTTAGCATCACATTAAAAATATTCAAAATATAAATCAAAATTCAAGGGTATAACTTATATTCAATTTCAAATTTATGGCATTTTAAAATAGGATGATTTCCTCAAATGTGCAATAAATTTGGTTTTGTGGAATTGCACATGCCACCTTATCATGACAGTTGCTTTATCTACACAGTCCACTGAAGCCTAGTCACTTTATATAATCTGAATTCACAAATCAACTGTCGTCTTCACTTCACTGATTCATTGCTGATGGGCCTTTCACAAGGTAAAAAATCCTTTCCAAGTTGACAAGAGTAATAAATGGAGAGGTGAGAGCTGCCTCTCCATCCTGCTGTTCTATTGTACGGCCGATAGTGACACATGGCAGAATAAGCTCATAAACCAACCTCATCTTTTGACCTCTGCAGAGTAAATGGAAAGAGGAGGGCGTTTATGATGATGACTGTATTTAAAGACCAATAATGACCAGATAAACCTCTGAAATCTAACTAGCCCCACCAATAGCTTATAAAAATGATGGGTTTGGGGGGTTTTGTTTGTTTTTTTATTATGATGCAAAAAATATTYAAAGTGCAGCTATGGCATCTTCAGAAGAAGAATCTATATGCTACCCAGCTGTATCAGTTTATAAGATACTTAACACAATCAAACACATACAAAATCAACCTTGATAATGGAAAAAACCCTTGGTAATGAAAAATAATTGTTCTTTTAATGATCCAGCTTCAAGAAAAACTATGCATAAACCAGAGAGTGAACTAGAACGAGATGGGATTCCAGGAATAACCAAGCAGTTTAAGCTAGGATACTTTCTTTGACTGATGCTACCCAGGAGAAAAAGAACAAATTCAAAATAAATACCAGTTTGTAATATCTCTAGGAAATATTACAGTATTGAACCTTTATTTATTAGGGGTGCATCTTTTTAGGAAAATTGGCTAGTGATTAATCTTCACCTACCTCTCCATTTCTGTCCTCTGCTGAAGGTAGAAGTTTGTGCAGCCTGTAAATGATGAGCAACAAAACTTGGAAGCTCTGAACTCATCTGCAGTATCAGTCAGACCCAAAGGCTGGCAGGAAGCATGGTAAGCAATATGTGATCCAAATTTAAAAACCTAGAATAAACATGTTTACCTGGTCTCCCTTATCTACACACTTACTAGCAAAAGCCTTTTTTATTGGTACAAAAAAGTAAATTTATACTCATTCCAGAAAGACAACAAAGGCTTTTTACCTTGTCTCTAGTAAGATTAAATGCATAACTACTCTAAATATATTCCAATTTTCAGTGATACGCTATTTTGTTTTATTCATGAATATATCATTCCCTCTGCATTGTACGGGTGGCTCTTCAGGGTCTGCACGCATTTTAAAAMCCCTACATGGAAAGAGTCTCAAGCTGCAAGCAGTAATAGCCATCATTTAGGCACCTAAGGGAACAAAACAATTTAAAATATGAGAAAAGAGCCAAAGTTTCAGTAGAAGAGCCCAGTCTTGCAWTAAGATCTACTTCTGTGCATAACCAACTGATGCCCACTGATTGCTACACCAAACACATGAAATAATTTTAATGGCATTTCTACATTTCTATATGCACATCAATGCAAAAAAAATTACCAACTCTTTCTGCCAAACGCAGACCCTAACCAATCAACAATAAAATATTTCTATCTTTGAAGCAACACCACCACTGTAAAATACACATGAGCCAAAAGAGAGTACAACAATGAGCAGCACTGAAATCTTCAGAAGCTAAAACCAAAGAGTGATGCTCATACCATTTTGAGTGCTTTTCAGATGCTATTTTTCAGTCTGAAACTAAAAGTTCACCAGTGGAACTTCAGCAAATACCAATTTAGAGCAGTTGAAAGAAACAGCAAATTGTCGTCAGTGTGAGAACATCTCTTGTCTTATCACAGATTTTTGGAGGAAGATTCACTGGCCACACCATGATACTCAACCTCTTCCCATTTGCTTGGCCACACTGACTGAGGATTGAATATTACTGCCAGGTGAGGTGGCACATAATACCACTTCTATTTAGCTAAAAGAAAAAAATCTAAGYTTCTGTTTAACTAAAGTCTGTAGAAGCCAGGTTTGGAGTTGGATGTATTTTCAGATAAGGCCCAGGTTTTGAGCAGCAAGCAGTATGTAGAGGTTGGGCTCAAATTAGGCAGCACTGAAACCCCATGAAGTTGTGACATGGAGAATTAATAATAACAACCTGAATTCAAGGATTTTTCCACATTGAGTTTTTGTTTTCTTTTGAAACAGTGCTTATCATTATACACGTATGGAAAAGTTGGTTGTTCATACTGATTATATTACTCAATACAGCACGCTTTAGTTTGAAAATCAGGTGTGCTTCTTTTTTAATTAAATCATTCAACAAAAACTTGACTACAGAGTATTCTGCTAAAACCTAATTAAGAGCATGATTTAATGAAAGCACATTCTGCAGTTTTAGTTTACATTCCCACATGAGTGGGGACGTCATTCTTTCATGTTTTACACATTTTGGGCTTCAGAAGATTTTTCTGTTTGGTTGCTTTTTTTTCTCCTTTTCCTTCCCAAAGCTGATTCTGAATTATATAAAGAAATACTCCAGGCTTAGATCATATCAATTCATTAACTGTTGGCAACATTCAGTTCTGATTTTCAAAAAAACTTTAACAAACCTAATAGAAAGGCATCATGAAAAGAGCACTATTTCAAAACTTGGCCCTTGTTCAAGCTACATATGGTCACATAATCTTTTAAAACGCATGATTCAAGTCTCAATTTAATTATGTAATAGCACAAATGGAATTACACTGCAGATGAAGTGCAGTATTTCAGCTCAAACACATACTGGAGTTGTGTGACTGATCCAAGCTTATTTCATTTGGTCATTGTATTAGAGAGCTTAATTTGAATGCAAGCACACGTAGCAAACAACAACTTCAATATGGTATCTCCTCCTCTTGATCTAAATTTCAATACTTGCTGGGCTGGGCAGTCTTATGAAGATAATTTATCAGGCAGATTAGAAAAATGATGACAATTCAGCATTAACAAACATTTGTTATTAATGCATTTTATTTAGCATGTATCCCCACTTAACTCCTTAAAAACAGAGATGCCTTTCTTCCCTATGTACATGGCTATGAGCATGACCCTAGAGTATAATAAAGCTCTATCAATATCCTGGAGGGCAGCAAGAAAAATGAGGCTTTTCTCTTTCAACAACAGCAAATGCAAACATTTAAAGTAGCTTATTTAAGTAGCTTATCTTCTGAAAGATGAGAAAAAATTAAAATGTAAAAGACCATGGAAAAGTATAAATCGGTCAGTCTCGCTGAGCTACAACAAATACATGAACCAGGTTCTAAGCAATAACAGGGTGCTAAGAAACAACTCAGGATTTTTCAACTACATGAACTGAATTTGACCAGTACAACTTAGGAGTAAGAACTTGGTTTTATGATCATAAAATTCACAAAAATCATCCCCTCAGTGCTCAGTAGCAGGCAAAAAACAAAATCAAGAATTACTAGCAAAGCAGAGAAAATTCAGTATTTGTCTGCATCTTCAATACTGCGGGTAGTGCTGACCTGCTCAGCCGAAGGGGTCTGGGAGGGAAGCAGAGCTAAGCTTTGACTGATCCTTGGCTTGTTCAGAGCTGGASAGAACAAAACGCAGGCACTGTGACTTTACCACAGCTTTTGGCCATCACTTCTGAGAACATCTTACAGCACAAGTTCAAGAAACAGAGTTCAGGTTGAAATAATAAAAGGTAGGCATATGTTTGATTAAAAACTAGCAGTTATCAGGTTAGCTTCATGTTCGGTCCCCAGGGTGACTTCTACCTTGGTCCCAGTTCTGCTCAGTGATTTTGGTAACTAACAAAGATAAAAGAATAGAGAGCATGGACACAATTCAACAAAGACAATAACAAAATATTACACGTGAGAAATAAATACTGAAATTAAAAGCATGAATTTCTTGTTAAAGGAGCAGCACTGGAGAAAAATGAGGGAAAATTGAGARTATTTTAACTGGATTATTGCATGTAATGGTGCAACAAGTACTTACTGCACTTTGCTCATCATTGCTGAAGCTTTCTATTGAAACACTGTAAGACCTCACAGAAAGCAAAAAAAATAACTTTCCTGCATGGAAAACTAATCTACACTGACTATATTCTCTGAATATAACCTCCGCTGTTTAACCACTAACTACAGTTATTTTGAGAGCAATGAAAATCTTGAGAAAATTATTGTGATATTATAGAGAAAAATTATTGCATCAATAATATTGTCTAATGGTTTTTGTTGGTTTAGTAATTCTAAAAGGCTCTTATAGCCACAGTACCTAAGAGGGATGATAAAACTATTGAAAATGCAGTTTTTATAAATGCAGTTTTATGATGTGCACATGATAGCASCTTGCATAAGCATTTCTCCTACTACACCATGGTGAAAGATAAAGCAGCCTATGAGTTCCTTAGGCTACAAAGCTTGAGTCTAGGCTGTATGGAGAGATAGAGAGAGTAACAGGGCACTGGTAACATCTCAGCAGCAGCACTGAGTGCTGGTCTAGCCATCCTTGCTCTACAAAAYTCATTTTAAATAGGAAGAGCATCAAGAATTAGACCCAAATCAGAGCAGAAGAAAAAAAAGGGTGACTTTTTTAGCCTACCAAAATGAAGCAGGGCAAATAATGGTTGTCTGCAAGTGCCAGTGGGGCAGGAAAAGTAGGCAGAGATGAGGCCTTAGGGAAGAAAAAGATTCACATAATTGAAAGCACCAGGTACAAATTAGCAATTAGAAAGAGCCAGGAAAAGAAGGCTGCTGATTTTCCTCTTCCTCTATCTCTTTCGTCTATCTTTTCTCTTCCTCTGTCTTTTCACCCTGCCTCTCACAATCAAAAGTACTGCTTTAAGCAACATAATATTGCCTTCACTTGTGATGTTGATCCAAATTTTGTCATCAAAAAAACTAATTTTCATCATTCTGTGTAAATATTTCACTTCTAGATGTACATATAAAACATGAAATACCTGGGAAATTCCATAAAATTAACCATTCGCATAAAAACTCGTTCATGTGAAAGTTAAATCCGGGCACACCACCATCTCAACTAAGGCCTTACGCAGCTAGATAAAATAAGTGCCACTGTATCAAAGCAATCTAAAATGTTATTTCCCCAAATCGCAAATGCAAACAACCTGTTCTGTTCAGAAACATCAGTATAATCAAATTCTCTTTGATTATATGGGATCCTATAATCACAGCCCTCTGAGAATTTTTGGCTATTTTCAAAAATGTCTAGAAATTTACTCTGGAAAATTAATGCACAAGATCAGAAAATTCTACCTTAGCAAATACAAAAGGCCATTTGATTAGCTACAAATAAAAGCCCCTTGAGCAAAAATGAATAAGGTTTAAGCTACTTGAAATTATTTTCCCGCCTGATAAAGCCATTATCACATTTAGAGCGTTTACAATGCAGAACTACATTCCTTTGATCATCTTATAAAATTAATTGATCTTGCTTATCTATTGTACTATTTTAAATCATTTTAATTGAGGACATTAGGAGAAGTAATGGTAACAACCAATGCATTTATTAGCTACTGACGTTCAAGGCAGCAATGTCATTTTCATAATCTGAATTTCTCTATAACAAAATTCCATTCTTAATGGAATTTACATATAGATCACCCCCAGCCACAAATAATTTACTATTACTTTAAGTCCTAAAGGACAGGCAGAAAAACTGTGAAAAATCACTCCAGCCATACTTAATTTTAATTATTCTTTTAAATCAGATAGAGACCCCGAAGTTAAATTCTCATAATTAAATAGAAATTAAAAGTTTCTAAAAGCCTTATTTTCAACTCCAATTTTAAATGCAAATGAAGAGAGGAGAATTGCCCCATGAAAAACTGTGAGGAATGCTCAATGACAGCGTTTTGTTCCAGAGTTACAAAACTCCTTCCTCACCTCGAATCCCATGCAATTTTGCAGTCAGTTAAAAGCTGCAAAAGGCTGAGTGCGAATGTTCAACATGAACCAAAAGTCCTGGCTCTACCAGGGCCACCCTTCCTAGTGCCTGAAGAATAACTGAGGTTACTTGAGAGTGTCCTAATGTTGTCAGGACAAACTACCAGCTCGAAATTGTCCACAGATATCTACAGCTCCCATCTGAAAGGGAAAGACGGACTTTTTTTTAATAAGGGAGCTATCAGCATTTCTTTCCAGATTTTTACACTGAGTTGGGCCTGGGCTAACCAGCCCAAAGCTAAGAATTCCCTTGAAAATGGGCCTCATTTCCATTTTTAAGCCACCTCGCTGATCTTACTGGGCTCCCAAATTATAGAATACATGCTAATGTAATCAAGTTAAATATAATGTTCATCAGCATAAAAGCCAAATATAGATTTGCTACACAAATACAAGCACACACACATATATACACACACATATATACACACA